TGAGATCCAATAAAATATTAATGTAATGGAAGTTAAAGATAGGTTGGAGTTTCCAGCAATGGAAGAGATGAACTTTCTCTTTCTAACACGATTAACAGTCATCTTTGAATGAAGAATCTTCTAACTGATTCCCGCCCGATACACTGATCTTTCTTCATCTAAAACACAACCGTATCGAGCATCGTTCCTAGCGTCTGTATAATGTTTGACGACATCAAATTGGAGACGTGTTCTTCCAGGTGCTTCTTAGCATCTTGCCTTCCCACATTTGCAATTGCAAGTTTCTCTGGTGGCAACTCATCTTCCTCCTGCACTGCCTTGTTGTACTTAATAGCCAAGTTCAGCATTTCCTGCACGGAATATACCAGACCCATAAATCACAACATAGATTACGAACCGCAAAATATACCCACTACTCTGTACAATTTTATCAGGTTTAGTTTAGCATTGAAAGTGAATCGTCAAGATATTTGATCACAACCCTTTTTTTTCCTTTTTCTCTCCTCATGAGATGATTTCTTCACGTCATCAAAATAAGCTTTACGATTGACGTAGGTACAATTAGAGAGCAATTGAATTGTTTAGCAATGCACATAACTTATTCATTCAAGTAGAGCGAACAACACGACAGTCAGCTACCCAACACTATGTTTCTGATAGGATTTTTTTTTTAAAATAAAAAATAAAAAGTCTCTCCTCTCTCTCACTAAAAAATTTAGAGGTGGTGGGCAGCAGGAGACTCAACTACTTCTGGAAGATTGAAAAAAATTTTGATTACCTGGACAGTCTGCTCGTTAGTTTTTGAGTGTGTATCAAATCGTCGAAGTGTTAGGCCGTCAGTCCATTTCTTCTTGTGAAGGTTAAGCAACATCTTCTCTTCAAGCTCATTCTTCCTATAGTTAATCGCTATGGAGTAATAATGGCGGTTCAATCCATGGATTAATGCCTGAAAAAGATGGCACACGAAAAGTCAACAGATTGAAAGCTAGAATGATTTATAATTATATCCGATCAATACTGACTTGAATAGATGGTTTATTAAGATGGCCGAGGTTTGATGTTGTCTGTCGTGGTTCTTGGCCAAGCATCATAGTCTGGGGATTAATTAGACGAAAGGCATCGATAACCACCTTCCCCTTGACACTTTGAATTGGGTCCACAACTACAGCAACAGCTCGCTGATTAAGAGCTTCAAAACTCTACAAATGATAACAAAAGTAGCTGTTTATCAAATTTTTATCCCAAATGCAAATCATTTGCCAAGTCTTCCAAGTCAAAATAAAGAAATAACATCATTGCAGTTTTTTAGTTGGAAGAGCCCAGAGAAGAAAATATGCAGTAAAAAAAATTATTGCAAAATAACAAAATCCCTCATAAATAAGAAAATAATGTACAAGAAAAAGGAAACGAATTGACCTCCAAGAAAGATTTTTTTTTATAAGAGACCCCCAAGAAAGATCAAACAACAATATGGATAACAACAATAAAGTAAAATGGAGGATTATTTATAATAAGCAATGGGAACCACAAACCTGTTGAGTATTGATATCAACACCAGAGAGCCAACATCCAAATCCAGGATGAGAGTGATACCATCCTACAACCATCTCGGGACTGAAGACAGCAAATCAGATAGTTAATAGCAAAGGGTGACACAAGTGATGACATGTGTGAGGTCATAAATTAAGATTCCAAGTTAATAATGAGTTCAATCTTCAAAACAGAATCAAACGGTATGGATTAAGAGTCAAAACAAAATTCCAATTCATGTCCCCTAGAAGCTAATCTTGACTGGAAGTGAAATCAGATTCACATTCATGCTCTTTACTAAGATGGAAAATGCATATCACTACAATACTCCTTATACACTAATTCTTATCTTTCTCTTTCTTTTATTTTTTTCATAATTATACATGCTCAAACCAGTTTAACATGCAATTTCAACCAATCTCATGGCATAATGGCCTAATCTTACAACATATGACATCAAGAACTCATAGGATAATGTCCTAGGTAGGTGGTTGGTGGTACCACGATTTGATGAACATAGGACCTCAAAGGTCTAGAGTTATTAACTTGCCCCTTTGACCATTGGACCAACTGATGCCCGTTCCTTATACACTCATTCAATTTTAATTATAACTTCATAATTCATTTGATGAAAATGACAACTGACATACCAGGCCAAAAACGAAGCTGAAGCTACAGAAAAAATTATGAAGTGGCCTAAACATGGGGTCATTCAAGGGAAACGAAGGGTAAAAAAGAGAATAAATTTGTGAGTGTTGCTCCAAGGAAATGGGAATGACATTCCCCCCAAATTAGAAACAAATTGAACCAACCCACATTCAGGAAGTATTTCCCTAAGAGTTGGAATCAGCATGAGAAATGACTCTGATTCAGGACGAGAAAACAAGGAAGGAAGTTGCAGGCCAGCCAACTAAAACCCTACCGCATCTGCTATTGTTCAACAAGGAAATTGATATCAATAGATCTTCTAATTGGCCCAGAGTTAACCATCCCAGGATCCTCTAAATTTCATTCCAGTCAATGTACGTTTAATGCAAGCAGCAGGTCCAAAACAACAGACAAAATTTTTGAGAAGCTGAACTCAGCATAGGACAGCACAGGGGCTTCATAGACAGCACAGGGCCTCATAGACATCACAGGGCCACAGGCAGCAAGCATTGACATACAAATTATATGAGGGGCAGATTTCAGGATCTAAAGTCTTATTTTCAGTAACTTAATCTCTAAGACGTTCTCTCCAGCAGAAAAGTCATCAGAAATCTGCATTTATATCCACCAAGACATTCGAAACTAAAGAAATTACCGTCCAGTTTGCTTAAGCATGTCAAGCATATTGGTCTGAAATACATGATCAACAGCTTCAACGCTAACACCGGTACCACTCTGTGGCATAGCAAATACATCGACCACACGGACGGTGTACTCATCAACAAACTCTCCCAACATCAGACCCATCACCTCCATGGGAACCCCAGCTCTTCCTATAGTCCACATTGCAATGGAAAATTACATAAACCAAAAATTACTAGAAAACCTAACAATATTAAAAATCGAGAACTGAAAATGCATCGAACATCCTAAACCTAAAAACTGAGCAAAGCCATCCGAATTCGTTAATTATATAGGAGGACAAAGTTGACGAAACCTCCAAATCGCCAACTCGGTGAAAGATCGCAAGCACATCAGAAAGAACAAGAGCAGAACAAACAAGAAAAGTGGCAATTTTATCTCGAATAGTACCGTGCTTGAGCATCTTCAGAAGCGCGAGCGAGGAGATGTAGACCTGCTCCGACGAATCCAGAGTGGGCGAGTCCGGAGGTGGGTGCCCCAATGAACTTCCGGCACCGGCGAACATCCTCTGTAGCCGCTCCATTCCAAAAGTTTTATCACAGCGACGATGCTTCCGGCTTCCGAACAAGCAAATCTTGAACTTTCTTTCGCAGCAAGACTTCTCTCTTTCTGGTGCTTAAAAATGGCAATCACTCGAACTAAAATTTAGTGATATTGCAATCAAGCCCCTAATTTCCAACGTATTTACAAGGAATGACCCCTTTCTTCTGTGGCCGGACCGAAAAGTTGAGCCCATTTTCAGGCCCAATAGGACCAATCATTATGTATTCTCGCCTACAATCTATACTATATTAAAAAACATTTTTAGACACTTTTGCCCTTTACTAAATTTACAAATTTACAAATTATGTCATTAATATATTATTACAAATATTAAATTAATTATTAATTATTAATTATCAATACTATAAATACATGGAATATAAAAGGTTAGAATGCAAAAAGTTTTCCAATAACATAAAATTAATTTTTTATTTAATTAAAATTCAGAGTTTTAGAATTTGAAAAGCTTTTGTAACGTTTTATCCTCTATTACTATAAAAATAGGTTTTCTTGTACATGTTTTTCACAAGTTTCAATACTTTTTTATTCTTAGTTCCTTGAAACATCTCTCAAATATGATTCAATATTGAAAACATCTCGAGATATTTGTGACATATTCATCAAGTTGCAAGAGAGGCATATGTTGAATCTACATATCTCGAATACTAGGTTTGTAACATTACCATTCCACAATTTTACAAAGTTGAATAATAGTATCTGTCAAGCAATCTTCAAGAATGAGCATATTTACTCTAAAAGATAAGAGTGTATAGTAAGTACTTGGATTTTTTTTGTTACTATTGTTATTTTTCTAATTAGTGTGTTTTTTATTTGGAATGTTTCTTTTTTTAGCAGTTTTATTTAGTTTAGGATTTGGACTTTTTTTTGTTACTAATGTTTTTTATTGTTTAGTGTATTTTTTTTATATGGAATGTTTTTTTTAGCAATTTTATTTGGAATATTTGTTTAAAATATAGATAATTACAAGCTCATGTTCTTATTGTTGGAAAAAAAAAACAATCATAGAAGCCAGTATATAAAAAAATGTTTAATTAATAAATTAATTATAAACAATAATTTGTATAGAATCGTAAAAGGTGGAATATAAAACTTTTGGTCATTTTATTTTCTAATATTATAATTTGAAGAATTTTTCTTTAATAATTTTAATTATAATATAAAATTAAATCAATAAAATAATTTAGTTTTAGTTACAAAATTCAACATATACAACAAAATCTCAAAATCTCAACCCTAAACAAATATTTATTCAACAAACAAAATATTAAAAAAATAAAATAAAGGATCCATATTAGGTTGAAATAATTTAAAAATAAAAATATTAAAATACCTATTTACTTTTTTATTAATATATAATTTTTTCCTTTACTTTTAATTTATTTATTTACAAAATATATCATTAACAATTAACTATAAATAATATATTTTAAAAATAATTATAAATAGTACATTTTATTATTAGTAATTAACTGTCAATAATRATAAATATATATAAAAATTAATCTTAATTATTTTTTAAAATAATTATACTTAAAACATTTTACGTGAAATTATATAAAATTTAAATTATCTTATAATTAAAAAAAATTTATACACGTGGTAATACACTAGTAATACAAGGTTCGCATCTGCTGCGAGACAATTCCCCATGGACTTTCTTTACCGTACAAATTGCGCATTCTCCTCCCGCCATATATTCACGCTTGCAACTTCGCACACTACGTTCTCCCCGACGAACGATCAACGAAGAAGAAGAAGATAATTTTGTTCCGTTTCTTGTCTTTGCTGAGAAATTTTGTTTGAAAAAGCATTGGGGAAGTGGATATCTTCGAGTACTGGATTACAAAAGAATGCTTCGTGCCTGTGCGAGAAGTCGATGTTCTCAACGGCTCATTTATCTTCGTCGTTTCTCCTCGTCGTCCCCGTCTTCTTCCTCATCTTCTACTGCGCAAAAATCAATTGAGGTCTCTAATAATCTCCAGAATTCGCATCTAGTCTCACCCCCGGCTCCGATTTTGCACCGCCCGTTGAACAGTCTGTTGCCTAGTGCATCACCCGCTTCTTTTTCTCGCAGTTCGATTATAACTGTCTCCGCCGCTATTGTTTCTGCTTTAATCGCTTCCGTTGCTTTTCTTCCCTCTGACAATCAGTCTGATCGCCCCCAGGAGGATTATAACCTCTTATATGATGGGATTGAAGGGGCAGCTCAAAGATCTAGCGACTCATTTAAGAGGATCTTTCACCACGTTAAACAAACTGGCGTTGCCGCGTCGGTTCTCTGGCAATCGTTAAGGTCTGTGTTGTCTTCTGCCAATCATGAGGTCCGGTCCGGCTTTGAACTTAGGGTCGCGGCGTTGCTGGCTGACATTGCTGCAGCCAATGCTACTCGGAGGGCCGCGATTGTCGGGGCAGGAGGCGGTGCCGTGGTGGATTGGTTGCTCGAGTCGGTGGCGGTTCCTCGGGATGGATGTGGGACTCAGGCAGAGTCGGCCAGAGCGCTCGCCTACTTGATTGCCGATCCTAATGTGTCCGCTTCCGTCCTTGGTAGGCCTCGTGCAGTTCCAAATCTTTTGAGGTTCATCTTCTCGTGTCAGCCTCGGCGAACGAAGCAGGTAAAATTTGGTGAATTCTCGAACTAAATTTTCTGGTCTCGTGAGAATGAGATATAAATGTGAGATTAGTGAAGTTTTAACATAGTTTCATAAAAAGAAAAAGGAATTAAGATAGGCATTTAAGTTTCAAATATGACGAGCTTCTTTTTTGGTGCAGACGATTATTATCATTTAATCATAGTCTGTGAGACTTCTTTCAATACCTTATTCGTTGTCCCTTTTGCCACGGTTCTATAATTTGGAAAAGAAGTTTCTTGATGAAAGCAGGTTAAGGTTTCAGATAGGCAAACAATTGCCTTACCATGAAATGGCTGCAAAATGATTTTGAGTGAAATTGGTTGATAAGGTATAGTTATTACAACACACGAGTTCAGAACGCATGTTAGGAATCTGCCCATAGCTTAGGATGTTGTTCGCTTTATGCTATCCAAACGGATAATTCTTTGGTGTTTGGTCATTGAACAAAATGTAAAATATTTTACTCAAGATTTTGTTGATATTTCCCTCATAAGCCTTGTTTTCCCATTGATATTTGTCTCATTTTTGTGGGACAGCATCCAAGACGTAGTTCATTCGATATTTCTGATTATTTGAAAGGTAGGAGCATGCTTGTGGCTGCCATCATGGATATTGTAACGTCCAATTGCGATAGTTTAGAGAAGCTAGCTTTTGAGCCATCCTTGCCTGCAAATGCTGAAACTCGAGACATTGCAGCAGCTATTCAAGTTATTGAGGAAGGTGGTCTGCAATTTGATGAACCAAATGGTGATGAAGATGAAGATGGTGGGAGGGGCATCAAAGGAATAGGAATTAAAATTCTTGGAGGCACTACTGTTTTGGGGCTTTCAAGAACAAGTGGGTTTGTAAAGTTGGCATATTCTGATGTTGGTCATGTAGAACTGGTAAAACATACACCTAAAAGTTTAGTATCGGAGAAGCATGATAGCTCACTTGTAGCCAATTCTTCTGTTGTTCCTGGTCTGTGGGATGATTTGCATTGTGAGCATGTTGCTGTACCTTTTGCGGCATGGGCATTGGCAAATTGGGCTATGGCATCAGAACTGAACAGATTGCACATTCATGAACTAGATCAAGATGGACAAGCCGTCATGACTGCTTTAATGGCACCTGAAAGGTCAGTGAAATGGCATGGAAGTTTGGTAGCGAGGCTTTTATTAGAGGATCAGAATCTTCCCCTAAATGATTCTGTTTCTGATTGGAGCTCAAGCCTTCTTTCTACTGTTTCTCATGCAAGTAAAAATGATGACATCCCTTTGGCTCAGGCTGCTTTGTCTGCATTTTTGGCTTCTGTTGAACAGTGCCCTGGGGCACAAAAAAAGATAATGGAGAAGGGTCTGCATATAATGAGAGATGCTGCTACACGGACCCAAAAACATGGAGAGGTTCAAGAAGCTTTAGCGAAGGCATTAGAGTTACTCAGCACTGAGAGGATGCATCTATCTGCTGAGGAGAGTCAGAGATGGTCTGCTATACTACTTCAATGGGTCTTTGGCAAATTTTCCTCTGAATCTTTGAGGTCTTCTGCCACTAAAATTTTATCTTGCATTCTTGAAGACTACGGACCAAGCTCCATACCCATTTCTCAAGGATGGCTGGCTGTACTGCTGACTGAAATACTGGGTTCTACTAAGAAGCCTGCAGTTAATGGAGCTAATCAGCTTAAGAATGACAAAGTGAAGGTCTGAGATATCTTTATTTTTTAAACTAAGGATTCAGATACACTCAATTACTCATCTTGTAGTTTAGTAACGTCAAAGTGATTTTTGCATGTGTACACCTCACACATAGTTTTGCCACACCAGTGTCTAAGCTGATGTAGTGTGTTTTGACGAGAGGTTATTTTGTCGTTTCTATTTTACTTAAATGTTCTTGTGAACTTCTGCAGACTAAAATTGAGCAGTCAAACATTGTTTTTGCCGGTCAAGTTGCTAATCAGTTAGCAGGAGCAGTTGTTAACCTGGCAGTACACCAGTTTGGTGCAACTACCGATTCATTAGATACCTCTCCCTTAGCAGATCTACTTTCACGTGAACCTTTTGTAGCACATTTGAAGAACTTGAAAAAGGACAATAGTTCTAAATTTGATGCAGCTGATTCTGCAATGGCAACATTAAAGGGGATTAAAGCGTTGACTGAAGTTTGTGCAGATGATTCTTCATGTCAGAGAAGAATTGCTGATTTTGGTGTTCTCTTTTTTCTGAGACGCCTTTTGTTATGTGATGATTATGAGAAGCTGGCAGCTATGGAAGCATATGATGCATCTAGAGTTCTTGAGGCTCAAGAACGTATTCCTAATGCCTCTGGTGGACCACCAGTTTCAGAGAGGAAGAATGACTCGACTAGTGTCCGAGTTCCCCCTACAGCTCACATCCGTAGACATGCTGCTCGCCTTTTAACTATCCTTTCACTTCTAGAGAAAGTCCAGAAAGAGATTCTTTCAGATGAAGCACTATGTAAATGGCTTGAGGACTGTGCGAATGGGGCCATTCCTGGTTGCAATGATGCTAAATTGCAAAGCTATGCTAGAGCCACGCTGTTAAATATATTTTGTATTAACCGTAGAGCTTTTGAAAATCGTGGTCTCTCTGATACAGAGTCTGCAGAGAGACAAAAGAATTGCCCTCGTTATGATGATATGATTTTTTTAATAAATCCCGAGCGTCCTCACTGGAAGAATCTCGGGGAAAAGGAGCAGGATACTGTTCAAAAGGATGAATATCCTTTTGTTGATATTGATGGTGTAGCTGTTGCAAGAAATGGATATGATAGTAATTCCTCTTCATCTCATACATCTCAGAATCATTCTGAGCTAGCCTCTCCTTTGGTAGATGTTGTTTTTATTCATGGCCTCCGTGGTGGACCTTACAAGTCATGGCGCATAGCTGAGGACAAATCCTCAACAAAATCTGGACTGGTAGAGAAGATTGATCAGGAGGCAGGGAAATTAGGGACATTTTGGCCTGGTGAATGGCTTTCATCTGACTTCCCAAGAGCTCGCATGTTTACCCTTAAATACAAGGTCTTTTCAGAACTTTAATGTTTCATTTGTTGTAATCTGAAACTGAAGTTGCAAACTTTGAAAATTATTTATACGTTGAAAAGATCTGAACTTTACAAATCTTGTGCAGACAAATCTCACCCAGTGGTCTGGGGCTAGCCTTCCTCTTCAGGTTTGTTTTTTACTGGAGCTGTTAGTCTCTTGAACTCTAAATAACTTATAATTTATCAAACCTTAGAAGTTTGGTTATGTTTGCATCATATGTTCACTGTCTTCAAAGCCAAATGCATTTTGAGAATCTGCGACTTGTGCAAGAACCATCTTTGATGCAATTAAATCTGGATTTTAGCTGATGAAGTCATTCTTCTCCTCTTTACCGAGCTTTAGTAGTTCAAAGAAATGCAGTATGTTACTACTACCGATAATAGTGTGGTTGATAGTTTGATGTAAGACAGCTGGATTTCTAATTCCTTAGTAGCTATGCAATCCAATAAAACTTCCGTAGTTTTCCTGTTGCAATTGTGACGTTAATAGTATGATTTCAACGTTGATTGTTTCAATTTTTGTCTTTTGAGCACATAAATGAGAATTCTACTGTCTTTATTCTTTTCTGTTGGCCCTCTGCTGATATTGTTTTATATTGTTTTCTGTGATAAATGGTTGGTCATCAATTTTTGTTTTTTAAAACTTGAAGGAAGTCAGCTCCATGCTACTGGATAAGCTTGTTGCTGCTGGGATTGGGGACCGACCTGTTGTATTTGTTACTCACAGGTTTGTACAAGAATGATGTTGTTTAATTTATGAATATCGAACCTAGAGCTAGCTTGGTCTACCTGTTTGTTCTGATATGAAACCTTTTACCTTGAAAGATATTGTTTTCCACTGACATTTCTATATTGTGGTCAGCTTTGAGCTTGCTGCATCAGCCTATATTTTATTAATTTCCCAGCCTTCTTCATTGAGAGTTTGTTTTAGTCCGTCACTTGCTTGAAAAGGTGTACAAGGTTACTCATTGCTGGTTTTTGTAATGCACACAAGTTCTAGGCACTTGCAATACTCATATCTTTTAGTTCTGATCTTACTCAATCAGCATTTATCGTATTCATTATTATTATGTTTTTCCGAAGCTTTTTTCATGTGATGGAAACCTTTTTAGTGTATGCAACTTTCTTGTTTGCAGCATGGGAGGCCTGGTTGTCAAGCAAATGCTGTATAAAGCCCAGACAGAAAATATTGATAACCTTGTGAAGAATACTGTGGGAGTTGTATGGTTTTCTGAACTATTTGTTTTACTTGTGTTTTTTTTCTTCTTTTTCTATCTTAGTGTCTTTAGTGTTCTTACCAGTTATCTTGTTGACCACTGACTTCAGGTCTTCTATAGCTGCCCACATTTTGGCAGCAAACTGGCAGACATGCCTTGGCGAATGGGTCTTGTATTTCGCCCTGCCCCTACAGTTAGTATTTGACTTCATTAACTAAGTGACTCTGTTTGAGGAGCAATTATCATTTGTCGTCTTGCTTTTTCTTTGGGAACTGTTCAGATTTTATACTAACATCAATTACACATCTCTTGTTATTCAGATAGGAGAGCTGAGAAGTGGGTCTCCTAGATTGGTGGAGCTGAATGATTTTCTCCGTCACCTCCATAAGAAAGGACTGCTTGAGGTCCTTAGTTTCTGTGAGGTAGTCTACTATTAAGTTGAAAAACAATGTTCCTTCGTGTCTGTATTTTAGAATGATGGGCAGCTTATGATTATCTGCAGACGAAGGTGACCCCAATTGTCGAAGGTTATGGAGGATGGGCTTTCCGAATGGAAATTGTTCCTATTGAATCTGCATATCCTGGCTATGGCGAACTTGTTGTAAGTATGAATTGGGATTAGTTTATAATCTAGAAATCTGAACATACCTTTCAATATCACCTTATATTATTTTTAGAGTTTGGACTAATATACTATGAAAACTGATGAATGGTTATTTGTCTGTTTGTTGAGGTGGCAATTTTTTTCGAAGATGTAGTTTTCATGAACACTATGTAGCCTAATCTAATGAATTGAGTCATAAACTGTATTTCATGTCTTAAATATATGCTAGATTGGTAATCTTTATGATACTTTGTCGGGTAAAATGGTGATAGCTGCAATGGATGATGCATCCTATTGCTTTGTAATTGGTCCTCGTGCCACGTGTGGTCCCCAATTCATTCTTTCTGATTAAAAAATTCAATCAATTTTATCATATATCTTCTCTTAATGATAGGTTACTCACAGCTGATTTAAATACTAGTTGTAATTGGTTTTGCATGAGAATTAAACAATTTAAAAATTGAATATGCATATTTGTTTCTAGGATTTAACTACCAAAAGTTATTGGTTCTATAAATTAATTTCATGAATAGAATATCGCCACCCCCTCCCTTCCTCGAGCTTTTATAACTGAGGAACTGGGAGGGTATTTCATATCTGATACTCCCCAACTCCAGAAGTGCTAAAAACGGATTCTGAAATTGCATGTCTATATTCAATGAATCTCTCACTAACCAAAAACCGTATAAGAGAATTTTCTTTGGTATCAGGAAGGTCTCATTGAGGAATGTTCACTTGCTTTAGGGTGATGGATTAGGAAAAATTAGGAGCAATATTTTGGACAATTCATCTATCTATGCACTCAGTTTGGAATCTGTATCTTGTTAGCCAACCTTGCTGCAAAACCACGTTTGTCTTACAAATCTTATTTCTTTTCTTCATGGTACAGGTATTAGAATCAACAGATCACATAAATTCATGTAAACCCCTCAGTCGCACTGATCCTTCATACACACGGACATTAGAATTTTTGCAGAAGTTGAAAGCTCGCTATGGTTAGCAGATCACTCCCCTTCATTTTTGTAGCCTATATCTTTGTATATAGTCATAGTGGAGGGTTGCCACAAGGTTATGATATTCTTATTGATGCTGCTGAAACGACATGCTTTCCCGACCGAAGGGTTCGAGTGCCATCATGTAAAATCTGAATGCTAACATAGCATAGAGGATACAGCCATCAGCATGAAAATTTGTTCAATGTACCTTTCCCAGTTTAATATCATTCGTTACATTTTTCTTGTAACATTGTTTTGATATGAATAATAGTTTAGAGGTAGGAAGATATATTACATTGTACATATCAAATTACGTAAAATGAGAAAGCGAATTTGAAAAACCAAGTTCGTGTTTTCCAGCTTGATTCAACTAATGTATCAAATTAAGAGGATACCGATGGGGCATACTTGTGATTTAAACTTGTCCTTTTCATAAGATCGTGAATGAAGTTTTCATTTTGTACTATGTCATATCATGAATTAGTAAGTGTGTCTAAGTTTCAAGAGAATCTATCTTTCTTATTCTTAAGCAAGTTTTTGAGATGATCCATGATTTATGTTTCGTCTTTCAAATTTATCGATCAATTTCGATTTTTTTTTAAATTGAGATATATGGATCTTTGAACCTACGTGTTGAGAGAAATCATGTTAAAATGTCGAATGCAAGTAAAGTAAATATTATTATTGACTATTATCTAAAAATGCTATTGGGCAAATTTCAAATGTTAAAAAAAAAAAATAGTGTTTGAAAATTATTATCATTTTAAAAATTTAGTTGAAAATTAAAAAAACGTTCACTAAAGATAAAAACCACACGAATAAATAATTATTGTTGAACTTCATTTTTAAAGATTCCAAAACTAAAAAAAAAAAAAAATAGCAAGAAAGCGAAAGCCCAATCCAATATCATACTATTGAGGATGCCGGCAAGGAAGTAGATATTGTGGAACAAAAATCGACCGCCTGAGCTTCCCTCCGACGATGTCGTTGCCGGAGAGCGTAGCACTGCAATCTTTTGAGCGAATTTCTTCAACTTATGCTTCTGTTTCTCGCTCCTTCTCCCGCGTAGTTCCTTCGAGACCTTTGATAATTTCGACGAGTGTAATGACTCGGAAGATGAAGGTGAGAAATGGAGGTGCTCTGAGCTTGTGCTGCTTGGATTCAAATCATTCTGCTCCTTTGCCGTCCACGACTGCGACGAGCACGAGCTCTGCTCCTCCGGTTTTAAAGAGGAAGAAGAGGTACAGGAAGGAGTATCCTGGAGAGAGCAAAGGCATTACTGAGGAGTTGAGGTTCGTTGCCATGAGGCTTCGGAATGTTAATGGTAAAAAGTTGTCCGGTGATGCTGATTCATTCAGCGAAGATGAAGTAGAGGAGAGAGATGACGGAAATTTGATGTTGAGTGACAATGGCAATGATGAGAACGGAGATGGAGTAGAGAGTTGGCAACCAAGCTTGGATGGATTTCTTAAATACTTGGTTGATAGTAAGCTCGTCTTCAGCACTGTAGAGCAAATCGTTGATGAATCCAGCGACGTTGCTTGTAAGATTCCTCCCTGCATTTTCTTATTGGAGGTTGTTTATAACTTTATACTACCAAGACGAGAAGATGCATGATAGTGTTTACGACTAACATAGATACATCCGACCATATAGATTTGCGGTGTAGGCTTTAGATAATTGGTTACATTATTCTAGAGTTTATTGGAATTTCATGTGCTTTGTGCGTTAAGATGTGCACACACACAATTTTTATTTCTATTTAAACATTTTGGGATTCTCAACTAAGCTCTTGTTTGAAGATTATTAGATTGCCACTGCTCCTTTGCCTTTGGTTGCTGGTCATTCCTCTTGAATCTTTCCAATATCTCCTGATGCTGGTCGCAGGATATCTCTCAGATGCTTCCTTGTTTACTTTCAGGCTCCTGGTTCTCTGTTAAAGCCATAATTTGTGGAGAAAGATGCCTCTATGGTTATTTGGCACCTTTTGATGAATAGAAAGAGATGACTTTTCTCAAGATACCCATATCCCTTTCTTGGAAAATTCTATAGTTCTCGGCTTAAAATTGGTGCACGTTAAGCGAGTTTATAACTTTTCAACTTTCCTCATTGATTGTAATTAGAGGGCATTGTTCTATATCCTGCTGGATTGGTTTCTCATCTCCTGATGTCCTCTTCTATATCTTCCTTCTTATTGAAATAAAATTCTGTGATTCTTATTATTAAAAGAAGTCCTGCTCATAAGGCAGTGCACAAATGAAAGGACTAGAGGAGAAACAATAGCTGTCAGGCATTTGGAATTTTTATGGTTCTCTGGGCTGTCTAAATGGTTCTCTTGAGAATAATTAGTGATGGGATGCACTGTTCATTTTTATGTTTCAAAAGACTGAAACCCAGTATTTTGATTGCAGATAGTTACTTCAGAAAATCAGGATTGGAACGTTCAGAATGTCTTGCCAAGGATTTAGAGTGGTTCAGCGAACAGGGTATTGTGGTACCCACACCGAGCAATCCAGGGGTTTCTTATGCTAAGTATCTCGAGGAACTTGCTGAGAGGAGTGCCCCTTTGTTCCTTTGCCATTACTATAATATATACTTTTCACATATAGCAGGTGGGCAAGTGATAGCAGGACAGGTATGTGAAGCCTTTCTGCTGATGTATGTATAATGTAATTGACGGTTAGCTGAAATTTTTTTTATTGTGATCTATAATCTTTTTCCTAAGGTTTCGGAGAGACTCCTTGAAGGAAGGAAGCTTGAATTTTATACATGGGCAGGGGATGCAGAAGATTTGCTGAAAAATGTCCGTGAGAAGCTTAACATGCTTGGAGAGGTTGGTTTCGTAGACTACTTAGTAAATTACATTCAACTAATGCTTTACCATTTGCTAACCCTGTGCTGCTATGTTGGCACTAATGCAGCACTGGTCTCGGGATGCGAAAAATAAATGCTTGAGAGAAGCAACCAAGTCATTCCGCTTCTTGGGACAGATAGTTCGTTTGATTATCTTATGACCAGCTATTTAGAGTGCTACAATTTTGAAGGTGTTCCTGGTAAAGAGGCAATATTGTTCATCCTTCTCGTATTTTAATTATATATCTGCTTCATTCATAAGTTAATATCCTTTGTTTTAGATTCTCAATAGGCACAAGACTAGAATATCATGGGGCTAACAAATGGGTAAAGGCACACGTTTTTTCACATGAGCAGAACATTTCATAACTTTACATCCTCGAGAAAATACGCTAGTGTTTGATGTATTTTTAAGCATTAAGCATTAAAATTCATTTCCGATTATTTTTTTTTTAATTTTGTTTTTATTATTATTTTTTGTCGTCGTCGCCGTCTTTGTATGTTATTCATCTACTTCTCCTTCCTCTTTCCATCATTACTCTCCACGTCCTCTGTCCAGATGAATGCCTCCCAACTCACGGACACACTCACACTCAGAGTAAATGTTCGATAATTTAGATGGCCAAAGGCAAGGACATTAAAAAGGGTCTTCCAATTGGTGCAAAGAAAGGATAAGCTGTAAGAGTTCAAACGAAGCATAAAATTCACTCCAAAGAGCCTAGTAAATGGATAGTTGTCGAAACTATTAAAAGGAGCATTAGCAAAATCAAATTTATATTCAATCCTCCATTACAGTTAGAAAATTCCTAAAAAATGCATAACAAGTTGCAAGCAATTGAAGACAAAGAAAAGGAGCATTTATTTAGTAAGAAAAAGTTGGTGCTTCAATTGGGGCAGGATTGATTGTATAATCAGAAGAGTTTATATTATTTTCTTTTTACTTTTTGTGCGTGGAGGATGCAGGGGGTTCGAGGGGTGGGAATTTCCCACTACCTAGTACGGTCTCACCGATGGCCAAATAGGTGCATAAAAGTCTAAAACCTAGCAAGAGACCAAAAATTTTTCTCTAGATCTCTCCCAAGCCAAAGACCCTATAGAGCTGTGAAAAGGCTAGCATGACACAAGATCTGGCCCTTATCACGAACCGTGGATGCACAAGGATCTCCTCCACCATAAAGCTGCACTCTCCACTAGAAAAACATCAAAACAACTAAAAAGAAGGAGAAAATCAACAAGAAAAGATTTAGTGCACGACATGATGTTATGTTGCACGTTGCCTGCTTAGATGGGGTCGTTTCCTGCGTATATAAGGAAGACATTAACGATTAGTTGAAGTAATTATATAGAGTGGAAAATATTGAAAACAGAACGAAAGTTTATGGAATAGCCTAGGACAACTGACCTTTTAAAGGTGGTTCCTGTAACATTGTTTAAAATGGAAATAATTTTATTCTCTTTTGTTTGCCTGAGAAGCATGGTTCCTCATTATAGATTGATGTTATGGTGCCTGTGAGGTTGGGGATGGGGGGTCCTATTTACACGCTTCCGTCTTTGTCTGGTTGCTCAACCTCTCTGATTAGCATGTCTATTAAGATAACCAGCTAGAACAAAATGAGGACTTGCCACTATGTATGAAAAAACCAATAGTAAATAAACTGTCGGGATTTCTGCTTCAAATGCAACTTAAGCTGAAACAGTTCTAGATTCTCTCTCTCTCTCTCTCTCTCTCTCTCTCTCTCTATATATATATATATATATATATATTTTGAGTACTAGATTCTCTACATTAGGTGCAATGAAACTTGCATAAAAATGCTTCTAAATATTCATTTTAATGAAAACTAATTTTGTTTGTTCTATGAGATTCGCACATAGAGTTCCATGTAAGTACAGTTATTTTTAATGTTGTCTTTCTCTAATATAGAATATACTGAGAATTGCTTATGATATTTTCTCCATGGTTGTTAAGAACATATTGATAAAAAGAAGGGTGCACGTTTTATTTTTTCATAGGGGAAACACGTGTCATTAATAGAAGGGATGCAAGGTTGTATATGTTATAAATTCTTTTTTATCATAGTAAAGAATTGAGAAGTATCAAAATATCACCATTTTAGTTTGAGAATTTTTAAATTATGCCCCTCTGACTTCAAATTACATTTTGACCATAATATAAAAACAAAAGGTGTATTATTCAATTTTGATTTTAGATAAAATTGAATTCTAAAATGATTTAAAATATCATTAGTCAAACTTCATTATATGATACAAACATAATAAATAATGTTACAAACAAGTGAAAATATGAACTTTTTAGTTTTTATATTATTCCACTAGATTATATATGGACCTAAACACTATTTTCTCTTGAGATTTTAAAAATAAAAAATAAAAATCTATATCTGACATAGGGGTGTTTAAAATACTTAATGATCCAAAAACATAGAACAATTAAGTCTAAACCTTTTGAGTTGAGTTGAATTATAACCTTGTTTGGATTGGTTTAATATTAAATAGGTTGAATCGCTATCCATTGAGTATATTCTTTAAGTTCTTTTTAAAATAGTTCATATTGAACTATTCCTAAAAATGAAGTTTAGAATTGAACTAAACAACTCAAACTATTAGTTAAATAAGAACTCCTTTCTTACTATTTAATGCTAGCATGTCTCCTTACATTTCATTTCACTCAAGGACCCTTCTACTGTTTTCATTCTTTCTTAGCTTTTATAAAATAATTGTTTGAAATTTTTAGAATATTGTTTTTTTCATAAATAAACTATGACACTTAACTATTACTATCTTTTATTATTATTTTTACACAATTAAAAAAAAAAAGAATGGCTGAACTGGAAAAAAAAAGGAAAAAAAAAATACCCTAAATAGTTTGAACTATCTCAATCTAAAAATTACAGGGTTGTGTTGGGTCCATTATGCATGATGGGAGAAATTTAGTTGAATGGAGTCTAAAATGTTTCTTTATTGAAAAGCTTCAATTCATGAAAATGTCGAGTTGAACTTTGAAGGGAGAATATTTTTCTCAATTTTGTTCAATTCAAGTATGATAGGAATAGGAATGCTATTAGGATAGAGTTAGGAATATTATTAGGATATTAAGATTTGTTATAAATAGAGTGAGGGAAAAACGATGGAGGTACCTCAAATTATTTGGGGAATATTATAATCCTTCTATCTTTTTATCTTTGAATCTATTTTTAGTTATTTTGGTTCTATCAAATTATTGTTAACAAGAGTATTTCATATTCAGAGAAGCAGTCTCCAAGTATTTGTCATAGCCTTATGCTTTTTATTTTATTTTAAAATTGTATTTCTAGGTCTTGTCACCCTTAGTCTTACCTTCAGTGTTTGATGCTTTACAACACCATTGGTTTAGGTTAGCTGATAGCTTCGCTATTCACTTCTAACTACAACTTGTAATGTACTGTGTCATCCATTTAACACCAATTTATATGGTGCTCTAGTTCTTGATTCAAGGTTCTTGCCGTATCATTTTAATTCTTGATTTAAGGTTGTTAAATTAATGATAATACACAAAAATCTCATGGATACACCCAGTTTTCTAGATTAAAATCATCACCCCAAATATATATAGTTTTGATTGGTTCATATAACATATCAACATAGCAAAATTGTCTCATGGGTTCTCTTCTTGTAGTTTCTGGCCGCCTCCTGATTTGGTGTCAAAAAAACAATAATAATTGTCAGTCTTTTCCTACAAGAGAAATGTAGAGAATTGACTATTCTAGAAACCGATATATGGAGATAAGTATGAAAATAAACCATTGTATGGTAATATTGAACCATGATTTAGAATCTGAATCTGAATTACACACGATAAGATTTATAATGATTTTTCCTTGTTCTTCTTTGGACACTTCCAATAGGTAATGGAGCTTTTTTCTGAAAGGGTAGGAGTTGAAAATTCTCAGAAAATGGCTCTCTCTTTCAATCAGTCAAAGTTGCAATGAACCTACAGAGCAGCCCCCATTCAAAGGCTTTGATTCTCTAATTGGTAATGAGAAAAATCAGTGATTTTGGAGAGTGGAGGCTGCAGGCATAGGGCCACTGACCTTCCCCAACTTGAGGAGCTAACCCCATTATTTTCAACATTCCATCAAATGCCATCAGGTACACATTCTAAAGTACTTGGGAGAACCATTGGATTCATTTGACTTGGCTTTTGGTGGGGTTTAAAGCTTTCTACACCTTTCTTTTTATCTTCTCTCTCTCTATATATATATATAATTTTTTTTCTATATTTCAAAATCATTATCAATAATGCGCACTTGGTCAATTATCACTTTCACTTTGCCTAGTGCCTCAACATCGTTCAAGACAGTGACACTCAGCACAAATCAAATTGGCACTATCATCACTCTTGATATGGTTAAGAATCTATTGAAAAGACTAAAGGTTAAGTAATATATTGTGTTTGTATTATGAGAATTTTGTATTTATTTAGTCTCTAAAATTTTAAAGATTTCAATTGCATATTTGAAATTTATAGTATCCTTCTATTAGATTCTTGAGAGAATGTTGGTTTGACATGACGTTAATCTATCTATCTGTCTACCGTGTCATACTAGCTTCTTTGAACTTTATTTGATGGGCATATTACACATAATTTGTTTATGACATTGCGATAGGATTCAAATAGGAGTATAATCTAAAAAAAGATGTGGTTGGAACTTAGATAGACGTAATTTAATGTTAAAAGTAGAGGAACTAATTTTATAATTTAACCCAAATTAAGTTTATCTTAACTTGTCAAGCTAGCCTTTTGGATCTAGTGGTTCAAATTCATGGAATGTTATTTTTCCTCTGCTTTATGTAATTATATCTGTTGGGTTTTGAGTTAATATTTAAATTCACATGTCAGGGAGTGGTGAGAAAAGATTGAAAAGAATTATAATTTTGTTATAATGTTTTAGGTTAAGTTTTTGAAATTGATAATCATTTGATAAAATTATTGCTAATTATTGATATATAATTCATTCATTAAGATGTTACTATATTAATACCTCCATTAACGGTGTTAAAGCTTGTTTTTATCATGAATCTGCTCGTGCATTTCCCTTAGTAGAAGCTGTTCCTTTTTTTCTTGTTGGTTGGAATTATGCTAATTCCACCATTAGCGGTGTTAAATGATTAAGTGTTTGACCATAGAGTTTAAATTCAGCTTTATCAATGATAATTTCAACTCTATTGTTTAAAAACCTCCAAGTCCTTGAGAATGGTTTGGTCTCCAAGTGGTTTCAAAAGAATTATGACAAGAGTAAGAAATAACTTGAATAATAACCCCAAATCATCTTATTAGTATATTTTTGTGGTAGAACATGTGGGGTGTAGATTCGAACCCACAATCTTTTGGTTCGGAGTTTATGTCTCAACTAGTTGAGCTATGCTTTGATTGATTAAAAAAAAATCATCTTATTAGTAATTATTTGTTATATTATATTCTCCAGTTGAACCATAAATGATAAATTTATTAGAGAGGCCATGGCCATTAAGAGCAGTTCAAAACTTTTGGACTCAACCTATTTTGGAGCTAAGTTTTCTAGAACATATTAGATAAATGTAGTTGTTTAGAAACACATTCAAACATGGTACTTCTTTTGTGAAAACTTTAAAGTCTCGATCAAAATCAATATGCTATGTTTTGTCAAATACGTCTCTTCACTACCACATATACTTTTTAAAAATCTGTTCCAAAATAATTAAAGTTGTTCAATTAGTGAAGGCATTTGTAACCTTCCTAAAGATGGAGATTCGAATCTCGACTGTACTCATGCTCGCATCAAAAATCTACAAGAGTATATATGGAATCTTGAAGTATATGGTTGTATGGTTTGGTGGTGTGGTTAGTTGAGGACATTATATATTGGAGAGCAACTGAGAACGCTAAGATCCAAAGACGCAGGAAAAAAGGAGCAAAACAGAGCAACAGCTTATGGTTTGGGCGCACAAGGCAAATATTTGATGCTGTTGGGCTGAGAAGAGGCAATGGCAGATCACACTTGCCGTTTGAGTGCTTGCTTTTCAACACACTATTTCTCAATCTATTGAGATCCAATTTGATTCCCTACCATGATCATAACCACCACCATTCTCCATGGCTATAGAAGTTCAAAAGAATCTAAATCATTCAACTGCCTTGTTTGCATTTTTAATAGCAATTTTCTTGACTTAAAGATAAATAAGGTTATAGAGTTTTCAAGCGCTCTACAAGTATCATATCACTATTCCAAAATTCCTCCGAACAGTCATTTATCCGTCCACTTTCCACTTGTAAGAGCCTACTTTTATCCAATCACTGATTGATAACGGTGATATGTATTTGTGTTGCTATTTTTATAAATGCTTCTCTTAACATACTTTCAAAACAAAATCAATTCAACATTTTTTTCTATCTTCTCTATTTTATCTAGCTATTTTGCTCTTTTAAGAGCAATTGGTCTAAAGATGGGTGTTATTTGTTATGGAGCTTTGAGCTCACCCCTCATTACAGATGATTTGAGCTAGATAATATTTCAGTTGGGTTGTTGGTCAGAGAATACTTGCTATACCGATGCAGATGACTTACTTGTTGGTCAGAGAATACTTGCTCCTTGAGATACCCTTACTCCAATTATCTCTGCTATTTATAATTCTCCCATCAATTTGTACATGTCGAGTTTACGAGTGGAGCGAGTAAATGGAAGCACGTGAAGGAAGTAAAGTAGAATTTGAATGGAGGTGGTAGCAATGGTGAAAGAGAGGGGGTAACCAAAAACAGTGTGTAAATTGGTTAGTGGGTTTGGCACTTTCTTTATTCCAAAATGGGAAGCGATTCCCATTTAGATGCAATTACTGCCATATTCTTTGGAAATGAATCATTCTAAAATGGAACTTCCTTTTTCTGCATGGGACATGCAGCAGATCAGTATCAGTTGCTAATGGAGGAAGAAGAATATTTTTTATTTGCCCTTTGACAAGAAAGCAAAAAACTATGCCCTCTCTCTCTCTCTCTCTCTCCCTCCACACTTTCTCTCTCTAGGAGAATCTTGGGGGCACATAATCATTCTCTACCCAATTCCAACTCCAACTACACTTTTTTTTTCTTCTTTGGAATTTCTTAGAATCTAGTCTTGCTAATCATCACTTAAGTCTACTCCCTTGTGAGAGAGAATAATAATATTGAAAAAAAGGGATCTTAGATACCTTTTATTTTTATATATATATATATATCTCCGTGTGTCTTTGCCAATTACCATGAATCTCGACAAAATCACGGGTTAATGGCTTAACCTTATTACATTTGGTTTGATCTTAAGTAGGTGGCCACCATGATTTGAACTCATTTCCTCTCCTTTTAAAAGAAGAAAAAAAAACTTTATTTGTGTAATATAAAACATGATGGAACCCAATAGAATATTTTGTCTTATACATAAATTGATACTTGTCGATTTAATTAAACTGAGTTGGGATGTTTTTGTTCTTTTTTTATTTTTTTTTTATTTTGAATAGCTATTTTTGAGAACTATTAGTTTTTCAACTTGTATCCACTTTCTATATTTTAGTTTTCAAGAATTTATTTTATTTTTTGTTTAGTCCGTATCATAAACTTGATATATATTTTGTTTTTAATTGCTCAACTTTTCGCTTCTTTTAATTTCAAATTTTAGGTTGGGTTGGAAGTAGGATAGAAAACAAGCAAGGAAAGAAAAAAGAAATTACAAAAGCATAATTTTAAAAAAAATATAGAAAACTAACAAAACTGCAACAAAACTAACAAAAAATAGAAAGTTAGAAATAAATTAAGCTAAGCAGGATCAAATTCGATTGGTTTTCGTAGATCCAGTCAATTGGGATTGGTAATCCAACTCCAAAACTGCAATAATTCGTCTTGTTTTGGACCGTAGAATATGGAAGAAGAGAGGAAATTTTGTTGTTATTCCAACTATATATATATATGATATTTCAAATTTAAAAAGTTTTTTTTTAATACAAATTTAAAAAGTTAGGAGTGAACCCGTTAGAGAAAATACTTTTGGTCCTTATATTTAATTTGCACTGAAATATAATTTAGTTCGATTGACAATAATTTAGTCCCTATACTTTTAAATTTGTAATACTTTAACTAAAATTTAGTATGTAATAATATTTTGTCTTTGAAATTTAAAAATTGGCAACGATTTAATTCCTATATATATATATATATATATACATGTAAATTGATAATTAAATTGACGGGACCAACTGTTTATAAATACAAAGACTAAATTGTTACCTAATAGACACATCATTTTGATACGATTTTTCATGGTAACTAGGAAATAAATTGTTAAAATTTAAATTACTATATATTAAATTTAGAGATTAAATTGTTACAAATTTAAAAATTACATCATTGATCTTTGCTTCCATGAAAGTATAGGATCAAAATAACCGAAAAAATTAAGAAAACTTAGAACCAATATTACTTCTAATTAAACCTCTAATGAATGATTTTAATGAAGTTACATATTTTGAAGGTATCATCCCAACCGTCTTCCTACGTTTATAAATACCTCACTTCGCTCCATCTTCGAGGCATCCCATACCCCTCTTTCTCTCTCTCATCACCAATATCTCTCTCTCTCTCTCTTCCCAAATCTTCATTTCCAACAGACAAAATGGCCGGAATCAATCTCATCGCCGCCGCCCTACTCGTCCTTGCTCTTATCTCCGGCAGTGTATCACGCAGCGAAGCAAGGTTGGCGCCCATGGATCACCCCCTC